ACCAGTGACCTCAAGGCCAGGGGACACTCCGAGTAGGTGAACTTGGAAATTCATCAAGGCGGCCTCATAGGAGTTTGCTATAAAAAGAACAATAGCACTCCTTCCCACCAGCCAGGACAAACTGTGTGTAAACTCAGACAAACAGAAAACATAAAAGGTAGAAATAAATCTAACACCTGTAATCCCAGCACTTGGGAGGCTGAGGCAGGAGGATCATTGTGAGTTTGAGACCAGCCTGAGCTACAAAGTGAGCGCAAGGCCAGCCTGAACTACAGAGCAAGAACTTGTCTCAAAAAATAAAATAAAATAAAAATAAACCTAACACAAAATGAATAGTATAAAGCTTGACTGAAGAGTGAAGCAGAGCAAATCAATTGGTGAGACTTGCTAATTTCCTAGAGATAAAACCAGAACCAGTGGTAGGGAAAGGAAAGAGGTTGGCTAAAAAATAAAAATTAAAAATTAGATAAACCCAGGTGTGGCAGTACATGCCTGTAATCTCAGTACTCTGGAGGCTGAAGCAAAAAGATGGCAGATTTGAGGCCAGCCTGGACAACATAGTGAGACTGTCTCAAAAACAAATAAAAACAGGGCATGGTGACACACACCAGTAATGCCAGCACTTGGCAGGCTGAGGCAGGAGGATTGCCTTGAGTTCAAGGCCAGTCTGTGAGTTTAAGGATAGTCTAAAACCACATGGTGAGATCCTATCTCAAAAACAATATCAAATTAGGAAGAATAAATTCTAGTGTCCTGTTTATCAAGTAAGGTGTCCATGACAAGGGGTGGTAAGGAGAAAAAAAATTAAAAAAAAAAAAAAAGGTGTCCATGACAATAATTTATCATATAAGTCAAAATTGCCAGATAAGACTGAATGTTTTCCCACAAAAAAACATAACAGGCGTGGAATAGAAAATATCTACTTGATTTTACATTTGTGTACATATGTCAAAATATCACACTGTACCCCATAAATATGTACAATTATTATGTGTTGGTTAAAAAAGAAAAAAAGCCCAGTGTGGTGGCACACCCCTGTAATCTCAGCACTCTAGGTTGAGACAAGAAGACCTCAAATCCAGTCCCAGCCTGGGCAACCTGGCAGTTTAGCAAGATCCTGTATCAAAAAATGGGCTAGAGATGTAGTTCAGGGAAGAGGCCCTCGGTTCTATCTCCAGGACTGCAAAAAAAGCTAAACAAACAAACAAAAATCATCAAAAAAAAAGGACAAAACAATATACAAAAGTAAGAAGGAAAATATAGGTAAACACGTTTATAGGTTTTGATAAGGAAGATATTCTTGAACAAGAAATATCACTCAAAAGGCTGGGACAGAAAGATCACAAGTTCAAGGCCAATCTAGGCAATTTAGTGAGACCCAGTCCCCAAAATTAAAAGGCCTGGAGATGTAACGCAGGGCTCCCTGGGCTCAATTCCCAGTACCAGAAAACAAACAAGTAAGTCATTAATCTGAAAAAGGCAGAAAAGGTAAGTTGGAAAGACAGAGGAAAAGCAAACCAACATAAATTTGGTTCCATCAAAAATTAAAATCCTAGGGGCTGAGGATTTAGCTCAGCGGCATAAGTGCCTGCCTTGCAAGCAGGCAGTTGCGAGTTCGATCCCTGGTACCGATAAAAAGGAAAAAGACAAAAAAAATTTTAAATCCTAAAAAAAAAAAAAAAGGTAATTTAAAATAAAACATAAGCCAGGCATGAAGATCCATACCTGTAATCCATTCACTTGAAAGCCTGAGGCAGGAGGACTGTAAACTGGAGTCTTGGCTGGGCAACCCGGTGACTTATAAAAAGGGCTGTGCACAGCTCAGTGGAAAGCCCTAGAGTTCAAGACCGAGTACATAAAAACAAAATCACTTAAAAAAAAGGTACACAATCAAAGGTAAGTAACAGAAATTTTTAAATGAAACTTTTTTGCTGAGGAGTGTTCACATTAAAAAACTGATAATATCATGAAAAAGGGTTAAATTATACTCATACTATGCAATTTTATGCAACAGCTAATAATGATATGTATATTGATGTGAAATGATTGGTATTATTAAATAAAAATACAAGTATAGGAACAAAAAAACAGTATGATGCCATTTGTTTTGTTTTTTTGAGACAAGGTCTCGATCTTTGGTTCAGCCTGGGCTTGGGCTCACTTTATAACCCAGGCTTGCAATGATCTGCCTGCCTCTGCTTCCCAAGTGCTAGGGTTACAGGAGTACGCCACCACGCCTGGGCTTACCATTTGTGGTTTTTCGTTTTGATTTGGGGGGGGGCATTAGTTTTGATAGTGGGGATTGAACCCATGACTTCATGCATGCCAAGAAAATGCTCTGCTATTGAAATACATCACCCAGCCCTGCCAATATGGCTTTAAGATACACAAAACTGGATTTTTTCTTTTCTTTTTTGAAACCAGGGATCAAATTCAGGTCCTCATGTTTGCCAGGCAGGCACTATTCATTTATCTGCATAATATTAAAATTTAAAATTTTAAGGAACTCATGGAGTTCTGTCCCTGAAAATCCAGTTCCTGCGCTTGCCCAGGTCCTCCCAACGTCAGCGTGCACATGGCTGTCAGCCGAGGGCTGCTGGCAGCTCACCAGGTAGTGACCACACAGAAACAGGGAACTGGCCATCTCAGTTTCTCTTCATGTCCTTTTTGCTTGTCTGGTCTGCTTTACAGATCACGTCATAATTGGTTTTCCTAGAACGAAGAACAAATATTCATTGATATGTCATACATATTCAGTACTTGTTTTAATTTTTTAATACACATTTATTCAGTGTCATTAGCAGCTATTACATTCGGCAATCAGCTGCATGGGTGCAAAAAGAGTCTACATGAAAACCCTTTATTATGCTTCATACCATCCACAGAACAGAAGTGAAAATAACCCATTATACAATCAGTCACACAGTCCACAAGGTTTTCGTGCCCATACACTTGAGTATTGTAGAAAACATGTCCTTTTCCTAGCACCTAGGCCCTGCCGCCCCAGTGCTTGGCTGAGTTCACACACCTGTTGTAACCTGTAGTTTCTCTTTCACTTCTCTAGGTCTTCTCTCCTGCTAAGCTTTGTTTCCTGGCAATATTTAAAGCCTCCTGCCCCAGCTATAGCTACTGCTGCTGCTCGAACCGTCATAGCCACCTTGACTTCATGGTTTGACAACCCAGAGCTGCTGCCCCCAAAGTTTCCTCCCTTCATGGGTCCAAAATTTGAAGACTGGTTGTTGTAATTGCCAAAATCATGGTAGCGTCCACCCACTCAAAGACTGCGTCCCATCATTACCAAATCTACTGTAGCCAGCTCCACTGGCACCATATCCACCTGCACCATGGCTGCCACCAAAGCCAATCTGACCACTGAAGTTTCCTCCAAGATCAAAATTATTGCCACCAAAAGCGCCTTCACGACCACCACCAAAATTTCCAGAACCACTTCAACCACTTTAGCGTCTCCTGCTTGGCAAGGCTTCCCTCACTTCACAGTGGGGCTGTTCACATGGTATTTCAGAAATGACAGTCTTTCCCACAGAATCCTGACCATCAAACTTTACAAAAACAAAGGCCCTCTTCTTTCTACTGTCTCGGTTGGTCATGATTTCAATCACTTCAATTTTTCCATATTGTTGAAAATAATCTCGTAGGTTCTTCAGTTTCTTAACACCACCAACAAAGGTCTTCCCAGTTAAGGGGGTACCTGGTGTTTGAGAATCTTTGGTTCCATGTCTCTTCCATTCATCTTGTGTGGTGGCCTGCGTTCATGGCTGCATCCACTTTCTCAGGGGTGTAGATGATAAACCCAAAGCTCCTGGAGCACTTGGTGTTTGATCTCTCACATCTGTGAGTGTCCTCCATTGCTGAAAATGGCTTCTCAGACTCTCAGCTGTTTCAGAGCTCAGCCCTCTGATGAAAAGCTTCCACAGCTGTCCAGGCTCCTTAGGCGACTCTGAAGTCAGAAGAGACTGATGATGCTCCGGTGTGGCAGTGTCCACAAGCAGAGAGAAGTAAGCTGCCCAATGTACTCGAGTCAGTACTTGTTAGTGAAAAGAACGTTTTAGGAAAGTTGATCTGACCAAAATATGATGATGGATAGCAAGAGAGAGAGGGAGGAGCATCAACCCTAACACTGTGTAACAGACTTTTTTTTTTTTTTTTTAAATCTGTTCACAGTTGCTCTGGAGCTAGGCCAGGCCTAGTGGCACACATCTGTAAATTCTAGCACTTGGGAGGCTGAGGTAGAAAAACTGCAGAGTTCAAGGCTGGCTTGATCTACATAGTGAGACCTTGTCTCAAAAAATCCAAAAAGAAAAACAAAAAGACTCAAAGCTGTTGGTTTTTTAGGTTTTTGTTTTGTTTGGTGGTAATGGCGGTTAAAACTAGGGAGCACTGAGGGAAACACCTGTAACCCCAGCTACTGGGAGGCTAAGGCAGGAGGATCTCAAGTTAGAGTTTAGCCCGGGCAACTTAGTGAGCACCTGTCTCAAAAGAAAAGCAAAGGGGGCTGGGGATGCAGCTCAGTGATTCAGCATTTGCCTAGGGTATGTGGTAAGGCCCTGGGTTCAAGCACTGAAAAAACATAACAAAGGTTTCTGGAAATGGGTGGTGGTGACAGTTGTGCAACATCCATGGATTTAACGTGACTGCACATTTTATGTTATGTTTTACCACAGCCTGCTGAGCTCAGTTAAAAGAAAAAAAGACCTAGAAATGTATTTAGCTTTAAAAACGTCATGCCTAAATAAATACAAACATGACTGTCATCATACCCCGCCCTCGGCTCCCTGGACTGGCCCTCTCCCCACGTCCCATCACTCCTCTGTTCCCAACACCGACCACCCCAATGTTCTGGCTGTAATCACCATTTACTTCTCTTACCTTTTCTTGTTAACTTGGTGATAAACATCTTGACAGTGACCATAAATATATGCTGTTCCATGATCAGAGGCAAAATCAAGGTGCAAAGAAAATGAAGAACCATCGTAACCATGTTCATGTTAAAAATATTTATTTTCTAAAAGATCACACAAAAGTTGGGGAAAAGAAGGGACGGGGTGAACTAGCCTGCATCAAAATCTGGGCATAAGGACAAAGAGCTGGGGAAACGACAAAGAGCTGCCTAAAGAAACTGGTAACTGGATCAAACCACGGAGACCAAGGCAACCGCTGGCCAGCAGCACCAGCAGCCTGGTCAGCCACACCGCCGAGATGGCATGCTGGCCCTTTTCGACAAAGGAGAAGCAGGAGCTCACTCTTTAGACATGTTCTTGATGGTCTTGTGCTCCTTCATGGCCTTCTCCCAATCACTACCATTGAATTCCTCAGTGACCACACTCCGCACGGTGCCTTCATCCAGGCAATGTGGGGCGATTCCTAGGAGAAAAGGGCACAGATGAAGACTGTGAAAATAGAGACTATCGGGGCTGGGGATTTAGCTCAGCGGCATAAGCGCCTGCCTTGCAAGCAGGCAGTTGTGAGTTCGATCCCCGGTACCGATAAAAAGCAAAAAGACCAAAAAAAAAAGAAAATAGAGACTATCCTGGCTCTTGGACAAATCCCTAGAGTAAGGCAAATGTCATCACCCTATGCATCAGATCCTGGAGGGATGTGCACCAGCTCAAGACCTCAGCTTATGAGGTCCAATGCATGGCCTGCTGAGCTCAGATGGCCCTGGTGACAGCTGATGAGTTCAGGCTTCTGGACAGTGGTCTTCCCCTGGCAGATGGGGATCAAACTCCTGGAACCAGGGATAGCCAAGGCTGGGCAACATTCAAAACCAAGCTGAGTAAGAAAAGTAGACTCAGGGCTAATACGATTTCTAAAGAATTCTCAGGCCTTTCCTGAATGTAGATAAAATTTCTGAAAATTAAATAGCTGCCCATTTGTACAGGATTTTTTTTTTTTAATCGGTACTGGGGATCAACTTCACAACTGTGCGCTTACAAGGCAGGCACTTATTCTGCTGAGCTAAATCCCCAGCCCATTTGTATAGGATTTTCCATTCTTTAAAATCCTTTCCTGGTCCACCAAGGTGGAATAGGGTGGGAAAGGGCTGGAACGAGATTATACTCTTCCCCCTCTTCCACCATAAAGTAGATGTCATTGTCACAGCTGCTCCCACAGCTCCAAACATCTTCAGCCTCTAATGTCCCCTCAATTCAACTGTACCTGGTGCAACAAGAGGCTAAGGGCTGGTTTTACTCCTCTAGATACAACCAGAAGCTGAAAAGGGTTTTGGAAGTTTTCTAGTTTGCATTCTGAATAAAATCTATTTATATTTTTGGTGACCCTGGGATTAAATCAAGAGCCTTGTACGTGCCAGACAAACACTCTCCTGCTAAGCTTTCCCCAACTCCCTTATTTTTAAGTGTTCTTTCTCAGGTCTTCAGTGTTACACTCCCCCAGTGACACAGTGGTGCTCTGAAGCACCAGTGAACATAGTCTGGTCGGACTCTGAGAAAGACATCCCTACACAGGACTGAGACAGCCGGTCAGAATCTTTCTCACATCCTACCTCTGGGAAGAGTTCTGCGGAAGAGCCCTGATGCTGTAGCTCGTGCCTGTGAAAGCGCCTAGCCAGCCAGGCGGACCAAATACACCAGCATCGATCTGTCTACTCAGCACCTGCACCCCAAGTACCTGGACCTCTCAGCACCCCCGGACCTTGCAGTCTACCCCTTTTACTCACCAAAGCCTCCAGGGTTGGAGCGGGGGGTGTAGAAGCTCTGAACACCACATTTCTTACAGAAGGTATGCTGGGCCTTGTGCGTATTGAACGTGTAAGTGGTTATGCTCTCGGCTCCCTAGGTAAACACAAACAAATAGGCTTTCTCTTTTCACCAAAGGATTGTTTTATTTATATATTTATTTATTTATGACATCAGGAATTGAACTCAGGACCTCACGCTTGTCAGGCAAGTGCCATGCTGCTAAGCTATATTCTCGGCTCAGAAAGGTTATATTTTTCCCCAAAAAGGTTATTTTTCACATCATTTAAAAAGTAAATCTTGGCTGGTATGGTGGCACAAACCTGTAATTCTGGTATTTAAGAGACTGAGGAAGGAAGACAGTGTGAACCCAGCCTGAGCTTCACAGGAATTTCAAGACCAACCTGGACTACATTGTGAGACTTTGTCCTCCGCAAAAAATAAAAAAAAATAAAATAAAATTCTTGACCTGGGGTATGGCTCAGTGGTAGAGCACTTCACTGTTTTCATGAAACTATGGGTTTGATTTCTAGCACCATGAAACTAAATCTCTTAAAAGGCTTAGTGGGGAGGGGCACCTCTTTTTATAAGGCTCTGAGGATTGTGAAGACAGATTCCATTTCCCACAAAAGACTTAAAAGTTTCTTGGGGACAGGGACCCATCCATACCATCTGAAGACCCAATAATTGAGCATGATGGCTCAAGGTTTCTCATAGAGCAACTGCACAGGGAACGGCCCAGCACTGAGCCTCCTTTGATCTATGCCATGAAACAATGTCCTGCCAAAGTCAGGCAGGGAACAATGCCAATTTCCCAGAGCCTAAGGGGAGAGCAGATCGCTGGAGTTTCTGGTTTCCCATGTTCCAAAACAGCACTACTCAAGGTCTTAAGAAAAATGTTAGCTGCATTCTTTATCAATGCATGAGCTGAGGGACCCACCACTAGGAATTGTATGAAGAAAGACTGTACATGAATTACTCTATAAAGTACAAGCCAGGAAAAAATTCGGCCAGATAGCATAGACACGGGCTAATTTCCCTAATGTATTAATATGAATAGGGCCAATGCCGTGAGAAAATGAAAACAAATCTCTCCTTCACCTGTGAAATGATGCCCACACTGACAAACTGCACTGTTAGGTGAGAAAAAAAAAAGTTGGTTACCAGCATTCATGACTTTAGAAAAATATGCACTACCACAAAAAAACAGTAACTAAAACTGAAAAACAGAAAAATATGCACTCATGTACAGTCATGGCACTCTGAAGTGGTTAGGCATAGCAACACCTACCCAAATCTCCAAGTGTACAGATCCCTTAACAAACAATTACACTTTTAGAAATTTATCCTACAGGTGCATTTTTTTATAGTATTATTCATTAACAAAGACCAGAAAAATTTAAAGTTCTTCCGCTGAGGACTTTTTCAGGCAAAGACAGACCCTCATAAAATGGAGTATTTTGCAAGGTTTGAAAAGTGAGTGAAAATTTTAGTATTGAGCAATCACCATGATTTCAAAAGGAAGAAAAGCAAGACATAAGGAATGGACTGAGTATGCAGCTCAGGGGTAGAACACAGGCTTAGCACGCAGGAGGCCCTCCTAGTCTTAATCCCCACACCAAAAACAAAAACAAACGAAAAAACCAAACAGGTATAGTCTGCTACCATTTCTATTTTTAAAGAAGGATATACACTTCTATGTGTTTTTATATGCATATAAATCTTGAAGAGATGGCCAATAAACAGTGGTTTCCCCCCCCCCGGGAAAGACACTGGGTAGATGAAGGGTAAGGGACAGGGTTACTATCATGTTAGGACTCTTTATACTCTTTTGCTAGCCACCACACCACCCATCACCACAGAAAAGCAAAGCCCTGGAAAACTCCAAGCTTCTTGTAGTTAGTTTGTCTGTTTTTAAGTACAGAGGCTCACTATGTTATCCAGACTAGTCTCAAATTCCTGGCTCAGACAATCCTTCTGCCTCAGCCTCCTGAGTAGTTGGGATATAGGGATGTACCAAGATACCCAATGAGTTTCCTATAAAAATTGCTCAAATTGGGGCTGGGGATTTAGCTCAGCGGCATAAGCACCTGCCTTGTAAGCAGGCGGTCGTGAGTTCGATCCCCGGTACTGACAAAAAGTTAAAAAAAAAAAAAAAAAAAAAAAAAAGCTCCCTGAGGAACTATTTCTCACTCTGTAACTATGACACCAGAAAAGCAGCAAAAACAAATCACCCAGACTTATCAGGAAGAATCAGTAGATATTCACACCTTACTTTATGTCATTCATTAATAAAACCACCTGCAGGCCAGGTATTTATTTAGCTCAGTGGCATAAGTGCCTGTCTGGCAAGTGCGAGGTCATGAGTTCAATCCCTGGTACCAAAAACAATAAAAATAAAATAAAATACAAAAATAAAACCATCTGCAACATCCAGACCCTTGCTTCCATCTATCCCATGCATCTGCCAAACTGACCCCATTCCCATATCCCCTGCTCTCCATGACCTGTCATCAAAATCTGCGATATGCTCAACCTCTGATTATTTCTTCTGACTTTTTGCCCAAGCAGCAATCACTAGTGACCACACACTGACCAATCTAATGGCCACTTTCTCAACCACTGGAGTCTTCTCACCCGGGAATCTTGCCAACAGTCCTTCCATTTTAAGCATCTGCTTCTGAGGACCCTTCGTTCTTGCTAGCTTTCCTTCTCCACTGGCCATCCTTGCGTGCTTTTCTTCTTCTCTTCGGCTCTATAATGCTAGCAGGATCCAGGGGCGTCCTCGGCCCTCTCTGATCTTGCTACATCTTTCCAGCTGACGTCACACACTCCTTATCCCTAAGAAATATCAACGTTCCAACAACTCTCAGGTTGGTAGCTCCAACTCTGACCTCTCAGTACTCCAGGCTTGTATCTCTGCTTGTCATCTTCCAGTATCTATATTAATACTCAAAAGGTGAAACTCCTGTTGAAAGCAGATTTCTTGATTCCAGTAGCCCAGCTAGCTACCTATACCTGCAGGACCAGCATCTCTACGTGATGTTCTAGGTGCTCAGGGCCATGATTTTGGATATAATCCCAACTCCTCTTTCTTCCTCATCTTCACATCCAATCCTTTTCACAGTTCTGCTTACTGTTAAAACAGTGGTTCTTCAAGTGTGGACCCTGGACAGCATCACTAGTATCACCCGGGCTGGTGGATTCCTGAGGCCATCCGCAGCCCCTGGACATACAGAATCAGCAATCAGGAATGGGCCCAGGGCCAGGTTAATGTGTCCTGCAGGTGCTTGTGTGCACACTAAGATCTGAGAACCACTGTGCGAGGACACATCTCTAGGTATCTATTTTTCTTCCAACCATGTCTACTCTGCAGATTTCTCTCACGGGTTCTACCCAAAAATCTCTCGCTTCCCTGCCTCCACACTCATCTCTTTGTAACCCATTCTCCCCGCTGCAGCCCAAGAAGCTTGAAAACACTGAGTCAGGCCTTATCACTGCACTGCGTAACGTCCTCCAGGAGCTTCACACTATGAAGCATAAAACTACCTGTTTATCAGGTCCCGAGTATCTCTCCAATCCTGTCTCAGCGTAGTTCCCCACTCCTGTCCCACTGGCTACCACCCGCCAGACACAAGTGTCAGTGGTTAGCCCCTGAACACGCCATGCTCCGCAAGCCCTTGGCGTTACCCATCCCTTTGTCTAGGCCACATGCTGCCCACCACCCAGCCCCATCATCGTGACCTGCCCACCCTGATCAATCTACAGACCCACTCAGTCAGTCTCAGTCACCTCGACTCTCCACACCACTCACGCTCTCCGACTTCTACTTTTCCTCCCTATCCACAGAACGCAAACTCAACGAGAACAGGAACCTGGCCTGTCACGTTAACTGCTGTGCTTGTGGAACCCTGCCTGGCACACAGCAGGTGCCCTGACAATACCTGAATTGGTATGTTGTGTATTTGAGACACAGAAAGAGAAAATTGTTCCTCCAATGGGGTGGGACCAAACACAAAAACAAAAACTAACCAGTGTCTTAGAGCACCAGGAAGATATGTGGACAAGCAGAGCCAGGGAGGAAGAAAACTGAGCACCAAATCCTGACCTGCAGGCCCAGGGCTCCACCTGGTAGTGCCTGCAGGAGCCACCTGTCACCCACCAGTGCTTGGATACAAAGCCAAGGGCGGACAATAGCCTCCAGCAGGCAGTGGAAGACACACAGTGGTATTCTCCTGGGCTTACAGGGGAAACCAAGGACAGGGGAATGGCACACCTCCCCACCACCACACACCCTCACCAGATAAGCTGTTGGAGCCTGAGTCAACAGCAAGCAAAGAAAAGGAGACAACAGCCTGCAGCCCCAGGTGCTTGGAAGAACGAAGTGGTACACTGAGGCAGAAAGACTGCCCGAGTCTGGCAGGAGCTTAAGGCCAGCATGATCAGCCAGCGAAATTCCCATGAGACAAAGGGTGTGGGAGACGGAGGAGGGAGACAGAAGACAGAAGAGAGAGGAAAGGAAAAGAAATCGACGAGCTTGGCACATCTGGGACTAAAGCCTACTCACTCAAACACCATCCCTTGGTCAGACATGCCTCCCAGGCACTCACTGAGCCCAGTTACTCAGTCAGCGCAGAGCCCTACTAGGCCAGAAATCAGGTCAGCTGTCCAAATCTGGTACTTGCCTTGGAAACACTGTTATGGTTTACACCCAGATGTCCCCCAAAGCTTCCTACCTGCAGCTTTTGGAAGGCCACTTGGACCACAGAGGCAGATGCTCACTCTACTCCTCTGGGACTAGTCCACTACTGAGCTTCTTAGCTAACCCTGTGGTTAGGAAGTGGGGCCTGGGAAGAAAAGGTGCTCGCAGGGGTGTGGCCTGGACGAGCACTGCATTTCCCAGAAAACTGAGTCTTATATTCATTTTTGCTCCAAAAGATGCAATAAGGCTTATCTTCAGAGGTTATTTTTTCATGTACCACAATCTATGTTTGTTATTTATGTATAAAAATCTACATTTATTGGGGCTGGGGATTTAGCTCAGAGGCATAAGCACCTGTCTTGCAAGCAGGTGGTCGTGAGTTTGATCCCCGGTTCTGGTAAAAAGAAAAAAGAAAAAAAAATCTACATTTATTTAAGTAAATGTAGTCATGTCATCATCTTTTGGAACATCGTCGTAACTCTTCAAACCTCGAATTCCAGGCCAAATTTCTTGCAACTCCATGTCCTGTAGAACCACTGGGCCCAATCTCCCATGTCCAGCAACAGAACTCTCCTTAAACGGGCACTTCTTGTCCTTGGAGCCTGCTCACAGTGCATCATTACAACACATGAGGGGTTTTTGTTTTTGCTTTTTGGAGACAGGGTCTGCTAGCTCTGAACTCACAAGTAGTCCAAGCTGGCCTCAAACTCGTGGCAATCCTCCTACCTCAGCTTCTGGAGTGCTGGGACTACAGGTATGTACCACCACACCTGGCTTAGCATGACATGTTGATTTAGGAAGTTTGTACTAGACACAGTCATGTCTTTTTGCTATCAAGTGTGCATGTTATTCATGCACTGAGTCTGTACTCTGACCGGTCATTTGGTAGTAAGTCTCAAGTTTACCTGTTTTCATAGCTGTTTACCTCTTGTCCAAAGGCACCTGCACAGGTAGTTACAAACCCTTAATTATAATTTATACTAGCACGTATTTTAGGTATTAATGTGAACATTATTTATATTTTACATTTAATAACTCAATATATCACGTGCTACAACAGACACATTTATGTATGCCTATCTGGCCAACAATCTTAACTGCAGCTTATTTGGGGCTGATATTGCAAACACTCTGCAAAACCATGCTGGGGCTCATTTACCAGTTGGGACTTAATTTTCATGGAGACACGGCACATCTCCCTCCCTGGCTGTGCCCTCTCTTCTCTCTGCCTCCCCCGCCACACTGTTTTCCTCCACCATGTCTCTCTGCCATGCCACCCGGCCTTGGAACCAGCTGATTAAGGACCAAAATATGAGCTAAAATCAAGTTTGTGGGTGTCAGGCATTTGTCCTAGCAATCAGGAAAACACATTCAGTAAGACACAGATAATTACACAAAAACTCCTAGGCCAGGCAGAGATCTGTGAGACCTGTGACAAGAAAGCAGGAATCAAGGACAGAATGACAGCCACACCTCATGCCACACTATCTAGAATACGCTAAAAGTCTTTTTAAAAAGTTTGTAGTTTCTGACCTAGATATTTTATTTCTAAGAGAACTGATTTTGAAAAAAATTTCCAAATTATCAACAATTTATGAACAGGGAAATTCATTACAGTAATGTGCATAATTTGGCAAAAACTAGACTCAGGCTCCAAGTTCACTGCTACAAATATACAGGAGACGAAATTTTTTTTTTGTCTTTTTCCTTTTTATCGGTACCAGGGATTGAACTCATGACTGCCTGCTTGCAAGGCAGGTGCTTATGCCACTGAGCTAAATCCCTAGCCTCAGGAGATGAAATTTTGACCAGAGAAATGTCCACTGGAGAGCAGGAGCCTGGGGCTCACGGGACAGTGACGAGAGAAATTTTCAAGTATTCATATATTTTCTTACCTATTGCAAATTCTGTACTAAGTACAAAAAAATTCCCCAAAACAATACTCTGAGAGGCTGAGGCAGGTTTGTGAATTCAACACTTGGGCAACTCTGTGAGACCTAGTTTCAAAACTTTAAAAAGGGGGCTGGGGATTTAGCTCAACGGCATAAGCACCTGCCTTGCAAGCAGTCAGTCATGAGTTCGATCCCCGGTACCGATAAAAAGGAAAAAGACCAAAAAAAAAAAAAAAAAAAAACTAAACTAAAAAGGGCTGGAGATCAAGCTCAGTATGAAGTCTAAAGTTTAATCCCAAGTACTACAAAGGAAAAAAAAAAAAAGAAAATAGAGAAAAATAAGAGAAGGAAAAAAATTATGTGATAGTTCACTGGGAAACGACAAAAGAAGGTACATTTGGAAAGAACAGTAAAACTACTTTAATTGGTTTTTTTTTTTTTTTTTTATACTGAGGATCGAACTCACGACCTCATACTTACCAGGCAGGCACTTATGCCACTGAGCTAAGTCCCTGGCCTGTAAAACTACTTTGATAAAAACATGACTATATACATATATATGTATGTATATATTCATACAGATACATATACATTTACATTGAAAATAACACACACAAGGACATACACCAAAATATTAATAGTAGTTACCTTCATTAATTTTATTATTTTTTGATTCTCTAAATTTGAAAATATTTCCATAAGATCAAATATACCTTGAGAAATAAAGAGGAAAAAATAATAGCCTTTTAAAAGTAAACACGAAAACAGGGTTAACAGGGAAATCAACCATGTTCTCTGCCCACACCCTGCAGAGGGCAGGCTGGAAGGCCTCACACATGCACTTCTGATCTTACACTTAAGCACTAACCTTCAGGAGCTTGAAGCGAGAAGCTGGAACAATGAAGTGTTTATTCTGCTTCTTCTTGCAAATGCTGCAGCTACAGAAAGACAGAGCAAATTCCACACTGTGAACAGCCATCTGTATCCTCTGGGTGCTCAGGGGGACCAGCCTGTTATGTTTGGAGATCCAGCTGACCTCAAAGGAAGCACCCCTTTCTGCACCTTCTAAGAAAGAAGGCGCTGAGGCAGAGGGACTGGTGCCCTGGGGCCTCTGTTCTTTAATTTTTATCGGTACCGGGGATTGAACTCACGACCACATGCTTGCAAGGCAGGCGCTTATGCCACTGAGCTAAGTCCCCAGCCCCTGGGGCCTCTGTTCTTATGGGAAGAAGATTCAGATCCCAGAAACATAAACTGAAGCCAGGCCCCCACTCAAATATCCAGGACCAACAGGACCTTGTTTCACTGCCCACCTTCTCGTTTGTTACAGTGAATGCAAACACTGGATTTCAGGCTCTTAGAAAACAAACTTCAGACATTGCTGCAATCTACGCTGCAGACATTCACACCAAAAATGGCTCAAGTAGCTTATGTTTCCCTCTCTCTCCATCTCCACATCAGAGATAATCTAGCTCCAAGTAAGATAGATCCCCAGATACCACAGTAGAAATTAAGTTATAACTCGCTCTTTTCAATCCACATTTTTGTGTGTATTCAAGTACCACGGCCTCACAATCTGAAGCATGTCCTCTATTACTGAGGTCCCCTTTCAACCTACTTTTTTTTTTGATCGGTACCAGGGATCGAACTCATGACTCCCTGCTTGCAAGGCAGGTGCTTATGCCGCTGAGCTAAATCCCCAGCCCTTCCACCCACTTTTTAAAAAATTCGTAGTACAGAATCCTTTAACAATTATGCTACAGTGCTTTTTTCTAGATGTGGATTCTACTGTTATTAGCCTAGTCGATTCTCCTTTTGTATATATTTATTATTCATATACAATTCAGGTACCACTTAGCAGGCAAAAAGGTCTAGACACTGTTGAATAATTCGGTACATGCCGACTGCTGGTCCAGAACTCAGAGCCTGTTGTTCTTGCCCTTTGACAATGCCAGGCAAAGTATTAAGAAGCATGTTTTCCACAGATCCTGGTGGCACCACCTGCTCATGCCAAGAACAGAGAAAGAAGGCCTGTGTCCAAGGTGCCTACAGGTAGACCCACCTTCCACTAACTTATCAGGATCTCTTTCCCATCTGGACCTCTACAGAAGTCCTACCCAAGGCTCCTACTCAGTGCGCAGTCCAACTCCCATCCTGAGCTAACCATCCACCAAGCATCTAGGGGTGCAGTCTGAGTGGTGACTGACAGTCAGACACTGGAGGAGCCTGCTTTGTCACTGGCTCTGCTCTGTGGAACATGTGTGCACAGAAATCAGCACTAGAACACATACATACACACATGGAAGGAAGGCTGTTATTTTTAGCTTCATCTGACTTTTTAAAATGTTATCAATTTCAAGCCATACACAATAAGAACAATGAACCCTTATGTATCCACCACCTGACTTCAACAGTTATCAACTCACAGACAATGCTGTCTCATCCATATCCCAACTCCCCAGATTGTTTTGAAGCACTCAGTTTTAATTCTTCAATTCTTTTAAGATGATTTAGGAGAAGAAAATATTTACTTGCAATCAAAGATGTGTAAGTCTGCTGAGGCCCAAACTTCAAAACGAACTGCTCCACAGTGGCAACCTCCTGTGTGCTTCACCAGGCCCTGGTATTCACTAAGTGAAACGAAATGAGAACAATAAGAACTTCTGAAGAGTGATGCAGGGGCCTTGACCATGGCTGCTGCGTTCACTTTGCCATTGAAACAAAGTCAAGATAGGACAAAGGTCTTTTCTATAGGGTAACCAAATGCATTTGTTTTTAAGGAGTCACGATTATCTTATAAAAGAATTGATTCAGTACTGTCTTTGTCTATGAGTTTTCTTTGGGCTCATTTCTTAAATTTTCAAATAAAACATTCCCAGAATTTCGAAAATGTCGGGAAGAGGGGAATCCCAATCTCATCTCCATACTTTTACTTATATGTCAAATGCATTGTAAGTAACTGTAAGCCAGGCACCAATGAGAATATGGTATATAAGATACGGTAGACATGATTGCTGCCTTTACAGACTTTAAGTGGCTATCAAATAAACTGCCCAAATAATTTTTAATGATTGTGCTAAAGGTGAAGTTGTTATGAAAAAGTAACAAGGTGACTCAGAAAAGTCTTCTGAGACAGTTTCAAATGCTCTCATAATTTTGCTCTCCTTCAGTACATGATTTTTTATTTTTGATTTTTTATGTAACTGTATATATTAAATATAACCTTGAAGTTTTTAAAGCGTATATAAGCCAAACCCATAATTGAACATCAAAATCTGATATCAGATCGCCCTCCAGAATGACTGAATATTCTTACAATAATGAATGAGAAAAGATTTCATACCCTTTGAACAATAATCATAAGAAAATAGTTCTCTGAAGCTTTAATTTGCATATATTTGATTAAGACTAAATGTTATTTCTTGACAAGTTAATGTATTCAATTTTTATTTGCCTACGCAAATAATGCTTATTGTGAAACATCTTAACATTAACATATTTGGTAATATTCAAAGGGATAGCATTCTGTAAACTTTACAAGAAGGATGTGATATTTGCTATGTATTTTTCCAAAGTTTTTCTATATCTTTTTTTGGTTTGTTTTTGTTTTGACACAGGGTCTCTATGTAATTTAGGCTAGCCTCAAACTCCCAGAAATCTTCCTGCCTCTGTGCTAGAATTACAGGTGTGGTCACTATGCCAGACTCTATACAATTCTGTTTGGTTTTACTGGAGATAGGGTCTCACCATGCAGGACAGGCTGGCCTTGAACTCCTTTATGGAGTCCAGGCTGACCTCCAACTCAGCACTATTCTTGCCTCAACCTCCCAAGTGCAAGGACTATAGACATGTACCACCAAGGCCAATTTACACAACATTTTAACAAGAAATCAGAATGTTATACACGCTTTTTGCACAGATGTTAATTTAGTACACATTCATGCCAATCTGATGGAGAAAAACATCACATCTTATGTCAACATTTCAATATCTTTTTCTGAGCCATTCTGTTTCAGAACAAAAAAATTACCTCAAATTTAAGTTTACATCCTTTGTACTATACCTAGCAGTAGCTGGCACACCACAGATGCTCAAAAAGTTGTCTGATGGATGAACATTTTTAATGTTTAGTTTATATTCGGAGATGATATAACAAAGTGAAGTACACAGAAAACCAAATAAATACTCCACCTCTGAGAAAACGTATCAAAACTAAGAGAATGTCTTCTTGCACAAGGACAAAGCATCAATTTTTTATTTTTGTTTTTATAATTCTCAAGTTGTTGTGCAATTCTTAGGTTATTCTTAACTTTTTTCTCCCTCGTGTTCTGATTGTTCTTTTCAACTCATAAAACACACACTGAAATATATCTTAAGGGTAGAAAAATATTTCTCCTCCGTAGTTCCACAGGCCACGAATCCACATCACATTTGAAGAACTGAAGGCAGCCTTTGCCAGATTATTTAATAGATTTTTTTCAAAATCATGGCCCTGTGGGATGCTAGGCATTCTAAGAGGGTAGAAGTGCATTCCCTTTGAAAGCAGAAATGGTGGGCTGGAATAAAAGGGAGCAAGCCACCTCGAGTCCCAGTCCTGGAGAACACAAAGCTTCGATCTGGCCTCGGGGACCAGCCTCTCTTTGCGCGCGCTTCTCTCCCAGATCAATAGCGCCTGCCCCTCCTCTCAGCCGGCCGGGAACAATAACGGGACTTTGCTTCTCGGCAGGCCCTAACCTTTCTCATCCCCAAAACCAAATGTGCAAAGACAAAGAAAGAACGAAAGAGAGAGGAAAAAGAGGGACAGAAACAGAGAGCAGGGATTCGACTACGAGGGAAATCGCGGGATCCGCTCCCTTTTCACTAGAGAAGGATCCCCGCGCCCTCCACCGAGTCCCCAGGCAGCCCTCGGAATTAGGACTAAAAAGAGGGGCCCAGTGGAAGCCGCGTCCGCGCGGTTACGTGGCAGGTGTGGAGCCCAGCGGAGCCCGCAGCCCGCACGCCGGCAGGGACGCGGGGACGGCGTGCCCGGTCCGGCCCGGCGCGGCCGAACTCACAAGGTGTCCAGCAGGAGCTTGGCGGCGCCCTCGAAGCTGAGCCTCTGCCGCTTCTGGAACGCCTCCCAGCGCTCCCGCTGCGCGCCCAGCTCCAGCGTGGACACCGAGGACGTTGGGGTCGCTGGGGTCTGTGGCGGCGGCGGCGGCGGGAGCAGCGTCAACTCCGCCGGCGGCTCCTCGGGGCCCTCCGCCTGGGCCCGCGGGGGCGACGGCTTCGGCTTCGGCCGCTTCTTCGCCGACGGTTGCCTGCTCGCCGCCGGGCTCCCGCCTCCGGCCTTGCTCGCCGAGCACCGGGCGCGGCTGTCGCGGGGAGCTGAGGCGGCAGCCACCGGAGAACTGGAGGCACCTGACCGCTTCTGCCCGCGCAGCTTGCTGGTCGCCACGCTCCTAGCCCGCCGCATGACTCCCGCAACCTGGCGCGCAAGGCCTGGCACTGACGCGCGCTCCCGCTCGGCCCGCGCGCGCCCCCTAAAGTCCCTATGCGCGTGCGCGCACTCGCGCGCCACTTACCACCTGCAGGCCCAAGCGATGCTGAGCTGGGCTGGGTAGGCCCTGCCCGCCGCCCGGCTTCAGCCCGCAGGAGAGACCCGGCCAGGTCCCGCACCCACCCCGCTGTGACGCGCAGGTCTCTGCTTGCAGGGACCCGAGCCCATTTGACCTGGGAAGGGTTTCCAGTCCCTTACCCCGGAGAGCTTCCAAATTGTACCTTCTTTACCTGGGGAGCCTGGGTCAGGAACTACATCCCAGCCGCCAACCCCAGGCAACTTGTCTCCAAGATGACGACACCATGTACTAACGGAGGTAAACTGCCTGGCAGCTGCTACTTACTGGATAACAGCCGAAACTACAGTTCTTAAACTTATTTTTCCCTGCGCCATTAGGAAACAGTGTCTGGAGGATCCTGGTGTTGTATTTACTCTTGATAAATGGGTGAATCTCACATCTACTTCTGTTAACATGGTTTCAGAAAAGTTTAAAGACAAAATTTGAGAACTGTTGATGAAACCTATATATTCTCTAAACCTATTTGTTGCTGTTGTATTCATATTTTCAAAGAAATAGCATTTGCTTTCTACATCTTTGGTTTCATCTTTATTCCCTGTTGTTCATCTTAAATAGCTTATTAAATTTATAATGTTTCTTTTTAGTCTTTGTAATAATGAAAATATTAATAACTATAGTTATTAATAACTATAGTTATTCTTCTGAGTATAACTTTAACTGTACCCACTTGGGTTTTCTCTCAATATTTATTTGCCATTTTCTTTACTAGAGTTATAGCTTACATACAGCAAAAAATATATATGCTTGCATGTGTGTGTGTGTACATGGTCTTGCTAAATTGTCCAGGCTGGGCTCAAACTTGTAATCTTCCTGTCTGAACCTCGGAGGTGCTGAGTTTAGAGGCCTGCCCCACCACGCCCAGCACAGAGTCTTCATAGCTTCAAGGTACAGCTTATATAACCATCACCAATCCAGATAGCATTTCCAGCACACCTCCACAGACATGACCTCTTATTTTGACTTTTATCACTATAAAATAGTTTTGCCCATTTTGAATATCATTTCCAAACAGCATACTGTTTTTGTTGTTGTTGTTGTCCTAGGAATCAAACTCAGAACCTTGTGCTTGGTAGGCAGGTGCTTACACTGCTAAGCTATATCCCTGGCCCCAGCATATACACTATTATATCCAACATCTTTCACTTCATGTTTTTAAAAATCATCCATTTTGTATATACATTTTTATTGATGTGTAATATTTGATTTATAAATAAGTCATTCATTCTGTTAATTTATATTTGGCTTTTTTTCAATTTGTGCAAATTGTGGGTAAAGCTGCTCTTCACACTGACATTTGTGTGTAAGTTTTTGTGGATTTGTTTTTCTTTGGTATATACATTAGGATTGGAATTTCTGGATCATATGTTTGCATTTCTTTGCCCTGTGGTAAAGCTGAGCACCTTTTGTGTGCTTACGAATCATTTGGATTTCTTTTATGAGGTTTTTATTTATAAGAACTCTTCTAGAAGATAGTCCACTTTATAAACTGGGTTGTTTGATGTAGAATTTCTTTATGTTTGGAAACTAGTTCTTTGACAGATTTATCTATATATTCTCCCAGGAATAGCTTTCTTTTTCACTTCTTTCATACTGTCTTTTGATGAATGGAAATTTTTTTTACTTTGATGAAATTCAACTGGTGATTATTTTATGATTTTTTAATGTCTCATTGAAAAATCCATGCCTATGCCAAAGGTCATAACATTTTTCTTCTGTATTTCGTTTCAGATATTTTATAGTCTTAATTCTCATATTTAGATCCACCATCCATCTCAAATTAGGTTTTTTTTTTTCATTTTATTTTTTGTCTTTTTCGTTTTTATCGGTACCAGGGATCGAACTCACGACTGTCTCCTTGCAAGGCAGGCGCTTATGCCTGCTGAGCTAAATCCCCAGCCCCTTGTTTTGTCTTTTTGAGACAAGGTTTCACTATGCAGTTCAGGCTGGCCTTAAACTTACTTTGTAGCCTAGCCTGGCCTTGAATTCACAGAAACCCTCCAGCTTCAGCCTCCTGAATACTGGGATCAACTTAGATTTTGCATATTGTGTGAGGTAGAGTCCAGGTTCATTTTTCCCCCATATTGGTATCCAGTTGCTTCATCTCCATTTACTGAAAAGTTCTTTCTTTGTCCTACTAAACTGTATTGTCACCTTTGTCGAATATCATGATGTGATCAAGGTTGGAGGGAGGCATGATGGAGCACACCTATAATCTAGCACCTCAGAAACTCAAGCAAGAGGGTCACCATGAATTTAAGGTGAGCCTGGGCTACAAAGTGAGTTCAAGGACAGCCTAAACCCTGTCTCAAAAACAAAAATCTATGATAAGCCAGGCATGTGGTACATACCTATGCCCTCAGCATGCTGGGAGGCTGAGGCAAGAGGATTACAGATTCAAATCCAGCTTGGTCAACTTAGTGAGATCCTTTCTTTTTTTTTAATTTTTATTTTTTAACTTTTTATCAGTACCAGGGACCGGACTCACAATCGCCTGCTTGCAAGGCAGGTTCTTATGCTGCTGAGCTAAATCCCCAGCCCATACATAGCTTACTTAATTCCTTAGTTCTAAAGTCAGGCAAAGCCCTCCAGCTTTGTTGTTCTTCAAGATTATCTGGGTCGGGGGCTGGGGATTTAGCTCAGCGGCATAAGAACCTGCCTTGCAAGCAGGCGGTTGTGAGTCGGTGCCTGGTAAAAAAAAAAAAAAGATTATCTGGGTCCTTCCAAGTTTTGGACATTTCCACAGAACGTCAGCTAATTTCTACCTGAAAAGCCTTCTGTGACATGCTGTGTCATTAACCATATGTCTATAAAAATCCCACATTTTTAGTAATCACAACTTCATTCCTTTAATTTCCATTTTTAATCTCATTTTAGTGACTCCTTGACTCAATCAACTTCATTCTTCATGTTGAACTGATCCAAGCACACATCTTCTCTTTTGAGATAGGGTCTCGCTATGCAGTTCAGGCTGGCCTTGAGCTCACTTTGTAGCCCAGGCTTGTCTCGAACTTGGGATTGATCCTCTTGCCTCATCCTCCAGAGTGCTGGGATTCCAGGCATGTGCCACCATGCCCGGCCATCACCTTCTCTTTTACAGAGCCTTCACACTGAGCTACATCCCAACCATTTATCTACCTACCTATCAAACTATCATATATCTATCTATTCATCTAGAGACAGGGTCTTGCCAAGTCATTAAATTGCCTAGGCTGGGCTCAAACTTGAAGTCTTCCAGCTTCAGCCTCCCAGACTGTTCATATTACAAACCTGTGCCACCATGCATGGCTTGATGTTTTATTATTATAAATTGTATTTTAAATGTCGCTTTCCAGTTGTTTATTGACAGTAAACAAAAATCAATTGTTTTTTGCTTGTTTGTTTGTTGTATGTTGAGCTGCTGTACTCACACATCCATCTCGCCAAATGCAGTTATTGGCCCTGATAATTTGGACTTCCTTTTGGATATTGATTTGATAGATTATTTTGATATTGAGAATTTAATTCAGACAGCACTGAGCTATATCCCTAGCCCCTTATTATTTTTATTTTGTCTCACTAAATTGCCTCAGCCTCCTTAGCACTAAGATTACAGGTGTGCACACTGCACCCAGTTTAAACTGTGGTTTGCTGATCTCACTATCATTATAACATACTGTTGGCTCCAAGAGTTGCTGATGAATTTTGTTCTTTTCTGTCCACTATGGTTAGGCTTAAGTTGGCTAAAATGTTTGCTGGATGAGTATAAACTATCCATATTTATTTTAAGATTAATTATTCACAAGTGCTGTATTTATCATCTACCCATACTGAGATCACTTTTCTAATGTGATTACCAATGGATTAGGCTCGGATATAGCTCAACAGCATAGTACCTTCTTAGCAAGTGTGAGGTTGTGAGTTTGATTCCTGGTGCTAAAACAAACAAAAACATATGTTGAGCATTTTCTTCACCTATGAAGCACAGATGATATTCTGGTGCTTGATATCTAATATTGTCTTTCTTTACCCCCATAACATGAATGACATTTTGTCTGGGAATAGAATTCTGGACTTTCAGTTTATCTCTTCAGTTTGTAAATATCAGTACACTCTCTTCCAGTTGTCAGTGCAACAAATGAAAATTCCAATTGATTTGCTTTTCTTTAAAAAAAAAAAACTTCTCAGAGCAAACTGGGCATGGTACCTGTAATCTCAGCACTTGGGAGGCTGGCCACAAGTCCAAGGCCAGCCTGGGATACATAGTGAGTTCAAGGTCAACCTAAAGTACAGAGCAAGACTCTGTCTCAAAAAAACACCCCCCACCCAAAAAATAAAAATCTGGGCATGGTGGCACATGCGTATAGTCCCAGCTCACAGAGGCTGAGTCAACATTGCTGTGAGTTTGAGGACAGCCTGGGCTCCATAGTGAGTTCAAGGCCAGCCTGAACTACAAAATGACACCCTGTCGCAAAAAAAAAGAAAAGAAAGTCTTAGCCAGGCATGGTGGCTCACGCCTGTAATCCCAGCACTTGGGAGGCTGAGGCAGGAGAATTGTTGTGAGTTTGAGACCAGCCTGGGCTACAAAGTGAGCTCAAGGCCAGCCTGAACTGCATAGCGAGACCCTGTCTCAAAAAAAAAAAAAAAAAAAAAAAAAAAGACAAGGGGCTGGGGATTTCGCTCAGCGGCATAAGCACCTGCCTTGCAAGCAGGCGGTTGTGAGTTCAATCCCCAGTACCGATAAAAAAAAAAAAGAAAAAGAAAAAAAAAAGTCTCAGAGCTGGGGCTGTAGCTCAGTGGTAGAGTGCTTGGCTATTGTGTGCCCTAGCCTAGTTCAACCTCAAGCACTGCCAAAAAAGGGTCTCTTCCTTCAGTATGAAAACTTGTACATTTCTCTCTTAATCCATAGAATTCACAATTTTTTT